AAGAAAATTAACTCTATCCCAGCTGAAACCAGGACACTCAATTAGCACTGTTGTTTTTAAAACAGAATGAAACTCACTTGGTGCCAGTGAATACAGAGCCATCTTCCCAAATCCAGCCAGAGTCTGTGCTGTTCCTCAGTCCAATCCAGAAACATTCTGTTTGAATACTCTTGAACAGGTCCTAGAAATGGTGACAAATTACAAAGTGACTAATGGCAGCCAGCCTGAAAATGGAGGTAAGGATAAGTAAAGAGAACAGACAGCAAGATACATCCCCTCGCCGGACTGTTCCTTAAGTGGATGACAATACTGCTTCTCCACACCTTCCAATCAGGAAGATCAGCCTTGAAGATCATGCCTGGAATAACAGCTGTGTGTACACTCACAAGGAAGTAAGTGTGCTTTCAAGGGTCCTGGGCAGATCCTTCGAAGGACATTTCTCAGGGCAATGTATGTGAACCAACTGCACCCCAGTTTCCTGGAGTTTGCTACACAGAGCTTTATGTAGGAACGTATGCTATTAGTATTAATATTAATGCTCTACCATACAGCTAGCTAGCAAGCTAACACAAAGTATTAACAATTAAAGGTAAAATCAGATCAGGGCAGGAAGCGCAAGCACCGACAGGTCTGTGTAAAGAGCCCATGACCAAAGCTCATTAAATTTTATACAAACTTTCCTCCTACATGTTTTCAGTGTTCATTTCCTTTTGCCTAACCTTTAACTCCTGTTTACCATTAAAAGGTGAAGCCGGCAACAGAAACTCAGCCCTGAAGTAAATTCTTCCCCCATCCCCCCCAAAAAAAAGACAGACAAAGACAAGAGAGAGAAGTTTGTCTTGTCCACATTTGCAATGAAACCCAACAACAGCAACCTTTCAGTGGTATGGCTGGGTCCCATCCTTATCTCCTGCTGCCATACACAAAGCTTCAGAGCAGATATCTTCACACAGAAGCATTAACAAAGTTGGCTTGGTAAAGCGGTGGGAATAGGAGTAGCTTGAGGAACACTTGAGCGTTGCTGGTGGTTTGGAGGTGACTGTGCTTCCCTGGCAAAGGGAGGTTGAACAGTCACAGCCTTTGCACCATAGGGCATGGATAGCTAGGAAAGTCTTGCTTACATGGGGAAGTCTGAGCAGGGATAATGCGTAACACTCATAGCAGAGACAGTAGTAAGAAAGCAGCCAGACCAGGGAGGCTTTCTTCACTCAGAGAAATGGATAGTCTGGGGAAGATTAATATTTCTCAAGGAATCAAGATTTGCCAAAAAAGTATGAGAGCCTGGTACATACTCTCAGTCGAGCAGAGACCTGGCTTTGTAAACCCCCACAGAACATCATACAATGCAACTTCTGTGCAGGGACTGGAAGCTGTCCACGTTCACTGGACCTGACCTAATAAGCCCTGGCTTGTGCAAAACCAGATCAAGTAAGTACTTCTGCTCTACTTATGCAGACGTGCCTGACCTCCCTAGTGATCAGGTCTAACCATTTCTTTAGTGGTCATACATTCCCCCGTCCCCAGCATGCACCTGCTGGAAAATGAGCAGTGGGACAGATGGTTTCTGATTTCACCAGCACAACTGACGTTTTTTGGCAGACAGAGGAAGTAGGCATTGAAAACAGACTGAGAAAGAAATATCCATGCATGAACACAGGGAGTGGCAAGGGCCACTGAGCAGGAAGAGCTGGAGTGGTTGCAGGGAGGACAGGCATTGCTTTTGCAAAGGAAGCTTTTCTGAAGAGTGGCGACGTATTGGTTTGCAGGCAATGAGTACAGAGACTGCACAGTGCCACAGTCTTTTCCTGGAATCATTCATATCAGTCTTGTTGGGGCTAGGAAGGGAGGTGGAGAGGGGCAGTGGAGAAGACTTGCTAGAGTGACAGCACTGCTTGGATGTCAATCACTGAGGTATCTGCAAGGAAACAGAAGATGTTCAAAGAATAAGAAAACCATTACCATTTCGCCGGTATCGCTGATCACCAGGAGATGAGCTCCCTGTGCCCTGCAGGATTCCCGGCTGGAATTCCAGTCCTTCTTCTCCTTGGAGAAGGAGTAGCAGCTCCCTCTGTAGGCTATCCACTGCTCAGGGCAGCGTGGGTGGGAGTCACCTGCAGAGGAATCAAAATACCAGCTTTTCTCTACCATTAACCAACAGAAAGACATTTGTCAGCAAGGACCTGCTGAAAAGCAACTCTTCTGGATTTTAATGCAGAAAACACAGGTCAGGATAAGCATCTGAAAATAACAATGCATGAACACTGAACTTCAGATTCTCTGTGCAATTTCCTTATCTTTGTACAAGAGTTGCATGCACAGTGATGCTGGTGCAACCCCCCACCCTCCCGGGTTTCCTCTGACCTACTCAGATACGTGAGAACCACAATTGGCTATCTGAAAACAGTGACACTCTGGGTGTGCAAAAAGTAAGGGAAAAAATTACATCATTCTGCGGGTATGGTGTGATCATGTCACACATCAGGTGAACGGATTTTAAGCAGCAAACAGTAGGCTCTCCCACGTGGTCTAGCACCTTCTGCAGGCATGCAAAAGTTTTATAGACCTCGCATATTTGTTTACCACTATAATTACAGCAAACAAGTCTACAAAAACCTTTCAGTATGTTTCACTGCTCTTTGCCACAGGATCTGAAATGGGTTGCCTGGGGTCTGCACCAGGAATATATTCTTGAAAATGTTCTGGATAGGCAGTGGGTAGTTAAGGGTGGTAGAAACTGAGAACAGCTTCTGGTTTAACCCCATATAACGGAGTTCAGGATCTGAGCTGTGCTTAGATGAGTCTCCAGTCCTTTGCTGTTGGTTGCTCGTCTTCAGCACCCCTTTGTGCACTTACTCATCTTCCAAATCAAAGCAGTTGCTAGGGAGATGCTCAGTATCCCAAAGCTTATAGCCAAGCCCAGCACAACTGCTGGCCACAGACAGGGAGCTGTAAAAGAGAAAAGAAACCATAGTGAACAAGAACTACATGAAAACTGACAGTGGTTTTACATAGTTTGCTTTTGTCCTGGGCACTTCCATAAGGAACCGAACTATTTAGAGCATCTCTGTCTGTCTACACTCTGCACATCTGTCTACACGCTGCCATCACTGTACCTGCCCAGCCTCCCCGGGGCCTCTCCATCCTCCTACCCACTGGCCCAGGGCCCCATTTCAGCTCAGCCTGGATCCATCAGTCCCTGCCTGAGTTTCCCAGGAGGTGTCCCTGTCTCCAGGTCAGCCACAGCCCTGCCTCTGCAGGGCCACAGAGCCAGGTGGTCCAGCCCCTGCAGTGGCTGACCCCAGGAGAAGCACCACCTGCCCCGGGTCAGCTGGAGCCCCCCAGGCACCTTCTGACACCTTGGGCTGGCAGGAGCCTCCCAGCAAACCCGCTCAAGCCTCAGCTTTGAAGTTTGGGGTGGAAACACAGAGCTGCACTTGCTACAGCCACCATGTTTCAGCTTAAATGCAAAAAGAAACCCAAGCTCTTTTCCCCCAGCTCTCTCAGCAACAGCAACAGGTTTAACCTCAGCATCCTGTTCACAGGTTTAGACACATTGTTGTGTTACATCTTCCTGGGACACTCCCAAGTCAGTCCTACACTCTCATCCACCTCTCCGATGGCAGGGTGGCAGGATGGGAGGGCCAGCCTTGAAGACCTTGGGATGTCCCTTCACACTTTCACCACCACCATCCACTGTTCACTTGCTGCCAGTGGCAGAGGGTGACTCTTTGGGGTGCCTCCACTATAGCCCAGCACAGCTTCCTTTCAAAGGGTGGGGCAGGACTGCCATGTACAGATCTGCTCATGTACAGCACGAACCATTAGCCTCCAGGCTACACCTTGCTTTCCTGTTGTCATCTCCTGAAGCTGAGAGGCATTCACTTCCCATAAGCTGTTTGAAATCTCAGCACTAAAATCTCCTCTCTCCCAGGTTGAGGAGAGGATGACACTGCCACGAATGAGCTCCAGCGGAGTTTGGCTTGCTTGTTTTATTAATCTCAGTATGACAGCTGCATAGACAATAGGACTTTCTAAGAAGCACTAAATGTGCAGCTAATGGTCACTGATTTTGAGGAACCCAGGATTTCCCTGTGCTTCTCCCTTAAGCTTATGTACCACATCCTGCTCTTGTGGTGCTCCAGAGTCTTCTACACAAATCCAGTGGCAAAGTCCCTGGTGGAGCTCATGAAATCTGAGGTGATTCTCTCTTGGTTGTGTCACAAGAGCCAAAGAAACATATCTGTACTCCCTGAAAAGCCTAGGAGTCTAAGGAGTAAGATGGAGGGAGGGGAAAGCTTGCTTTAACTAAAGACACTACCACAGCAAGTATATCAAAAACCTGGTAGAAGAAGGGCTGTTAGCAGGATGTCATAGCAATAGGATACAAAACACACAAGGAAGACAGAGAGGGCTGTTCTCTGCTCAGGTAAAATTACAGTCAAATTAGGTTAAATAACTAGCTGCATCAAGAGGTAACAGTAACAGCAACCCCACAGACCAGGCAAATACTACTAAATGCATCGGGTTGTAATTATATGCCAGACAAGGATGGTGACAGCACTCATGAACCAGCAAAAAGAACCAGAGGAACCATGAGAGAAGCGCGCTGACAATGACAGGCATCAATTAATCGCATTAAATTAAGCAAACACCATGTCAGGACATGATGCTGAGGCCACATGCATAGACACCGTTAATAGGCACCTCGCAGAGCAGCGAACAGGGAAACACAGAAAGCGAAGCAGCTCATGACTGGCCTGAGCCGTGCTCAGGCTACGCGGCTCACCACAGCTCCATCCAGCAGCTTCTCTGCTGCAGTGAACACAAATGCACTGAGATTCAACAGAGCCAAAAACCAACAACGATGACAAAAGGCATTGTGGTGTAATAAGTTCAAAATGGGAAAGTACAGGAAAAGGAGGAAGTTTTTCAGAGAGAAATTAAAAGGGGTGGCTAAAAGAATAAAGTACTTGTAAGCAGCAGGGGAGACTTTTTTTAGGATCTCTCAGTGGAGGCTGAAAACAAATGCACATCACATATCAAGAATATTGTGGGAAGGACAAAGAAAGCCAGCGCTAAAACAGAAGGGGAAGGGACTTCACTTAAAAATAAGGATGCATCCTTTAAGCATTGGAAGCTTTGTCCAAATACAGAAAGTAGACCAGATCAATAAATTAGAAAAATGAATTTATTTTGATCTTAGAGAGTTTTGCAGGCTCACCCATTTTAAGATCAGTTTCTGGTTTACAACAGTATATTTAGACCTGCATTTTTGGCTAAAAGAAGTTTCTAAGGTAACGAGGAAGAGCATGAGGGAGCTTTGTGGTAAGCATCATTCTTCTGGTAGAAAGATCTTTCCTAAGGTAAAGGTTTTGTCATGTTTCCTGAAGCTTGCAGGATCTTCTTCTTGCCCCACTTGTAGTTAAAAGATACCAACATTTATTTGCCCTTTAATCATTATTAAAGAACAAAACCCCATCTCTTCTCAATTACAAAATACAGAAAGACTTTTCACTTACAACCTACTGCTCCACGCAAGAGGACAATGGGAGAACTGAAGGACTTGAACTGGGTAGCTGTTCTCTCTGCCTGCTCTTTATTCCTCTTGTAAGGTCACCTTTGTATCTCTGGTGTCTTGGGTTTTGCTATCAGATTAAGCCTCAAGAGAATGGAGTTAGCCCGAGGTTGAGGGGTAGGGTGGAGCTTCCCTGCAGATTACAACTAAAAACTAAGTAAAAGGGGATAAATATCTGTTGGAACATAATTCTTTGTTCTGAGATTACATTTCTGAGGATTTGCACTTCTGTTTTCCTTCCTTTCTTGCCTCTCAAAGAAGCTACCTTCTGCATCCTCCAGATCAGTGTTCTGGATTTTAGGGAAAACTACTTCCAGGACAAGGCCACTGGGATGACAGTCAGTGAAACAGTTAATCATTAAACGTCAGCACCGGGCATCCAAGCTGGTGCCTCCTGGCAATGAATAGAGCAGTTCACCCTCTATTGTTTCACACCAACTGCAGAAAAAAGGAACTGACTCGACTCAACATCAAAACAAAATCCCAGGGCACCTTCACAACCAGAGCAGTGAGAGAGTTCACTTCAGTTCTTAAAAATGAAGTATGCCATTAGATAATTCGCGGAGGTAAAAAGAGAGTGAAGAGGGCAAGGCATATTGAAGCGTTCAAGGTGAATTTGAGCCACACTTGAACTGCAGTGATCAAGACAGTGAAGTGGAATAAAAAATTTCATAAATTGGGATTTTTACCCCTAGCAAAAGGGAGGCCCTGCACTTCCCCTTTTTTAAAAGAGGTTCAGGGATTTGTGCTTGATCCTGAGCCCCTGGAGCACACATGAAGCTCTTGTAGAAGAGGAAGGGAGAAGTACCTGGGATGAGTTTGAAACCAAGGAGGGAAATCCGAATGGAGCATCCAGAAATATTTCTGTGTAGTTGTCTGAGGAACTGTGGAAGAGTCTCCCCAAAGGAAGGGAGAAGCGGACCAGTGGACATTTAACATAAATATCCAGTGTTATAACTTTCTAGTACACAAAACACCCAGTTAGGTCTGTCAGTGCTCTGGAGAAATGACTGTGATACACTGCATTCATCTGCAAGCAACCGGTATTTTTAGGTTTGGGAGTCCAGATTCAGTTAAAAAACTGAAAGCTGTTAGCATTTTATCATTCAAGTCTTCTAGGACAATCTGAAGAATGTCATTGTGCTGTCCCAAATAGCCCCCCTCAGCTCCTGCCTACGTCAGTATGGGAGCAGCAGGACTACCTAGGGCCGGGGAGGAGGACTTGAGAAACGAGGATCCTGTCCTTGGCTATGGCACAGACCTGGTTATCGCTGTTACCATAAGCATGCCACACAGGCTAACGCTCTCTTAAGTAACTGCTGGACTGACATTTTGGTAGTGTGGCATATCTAAGGCTCTCTGGAAGCCAAACAGAAAGAAAGCAGCCAGGGTAACTCTTCATTTTTGAGGAGTCCATGAGAGCTAAAACCAGTTGGTTTGATCAGAGACCTGATCTATACACCTGTGATATACCTGTGATACTGCGTCACAGGGATGACTTGGTAGCAAGGATGTGCATTCAAAAACAGAGATGAAATACCTGAGAGCACATCTCTCAAAAGTGATGGAGGCGGGGACAGAGTTGAAAATAAAGATCTTCTTAAGAAAGGTACTTAAACTGTGCTCATTAGGGACTCCTCGCACGCAGAAGAGAGCTGGGAAATAATCAAATAATATGCAGAGAAAGTGTGTTCAAAGATTCGCTTCCTTATTTTAGGCCCTCTGACTTCAGCTCAAAATGATGAAGGTACATAAAGGAATTTGGAGAGGAGGAATATTAAAAAGAAGACTGCAAACATCTTAAGAGGGCATCAGGTAATCTCCACCCCCAACAGCACAGGAGCGAACACAAATGGCAGGGAATGAAGGGATGTCCCTGTGTTTTCTGATGCAACAGAAAACATAATTTCTGATGAAAACACATGCGAAAGCAAGACTGCCTTCCAAGCAGATGGGGTGTGATTACCAGATAGGAACTTGGGGGTTTCTGTACTGTCTTTGTTTCCATAGCACAGCAAGTGACCAGGCAGCAGTAACAACCACAGATGTATGCAGTTATTCTGATCAGGGCACAGAAATATCGTATCCCAGAGCGAGAGCCCCCTTTGCTGTAACAGCTCTGGAAAAAGCTTAGGGTCAGCCATTAGTGTTGCAGCCAATGCAACCGAACTCATGTACACATGGGCATTTAGAGGAAAACCAATCAGCTCATGGGAAGGAGATGCTTATAAAGAGTGATCATCCATGCAAAATCTCAGTATTCCAAGGTGGCATTTCTCAACTAAGCAGCCAGAGAAATTGCTCAGTGTGACATCTGCAAGGCCTGAACAGGGGGAATGGAGCAGAAATAAGGGAAGAGAAAATTTAAGGAAAACACTAATCTTCCTGGTAGTAACAATTCCCTGCAGAACTGTCTCAAGGCAAAAGCTGAAAATTTGCTCACTGGGAGGTATGTAAAACTAGAACAGAGAAAACACAGGAAAAAATGTATCACAAAAGAATCCTGCAGAGCCCCACGGGAGAGAGACTGGATGATCTCATATGCCTCCTCTGTCTCTGATCTCTGATTAGCATACGCCTTTAATTTATCTGTACTCACATCTCACCTGCCCTTCAAAGAACTATTGCTGACAATCTCATTGCTGACAAGCAGACAACTTTAAAACTGCAAACCTCTTTCTTAGAAAAGTATGCCTGGGTTGAATGCCCAGGAGTAAACACCGAAAGGGGTCTGACGGAGAGAGGGAGGGAAACAATGCTGGGTCTCTGACCCATCGGCTTTTATCACAATAAAATACTCACAGTAATTTTAGAACAAAAGCAACAGCACTGTGAGCTGGTGCGCAAAGGCAGCGGCCAGCTCAGAGTGGTTTTGTTAGAACTTGCTTCTGCTTGAAATAGAATCTTTTGTTGACCTACCTCATCCAACTTCCTTACCTCTCCCTTCCAGTCCAGCCTTTGCTCTCCGCCGAGGAGTCTGAGAGAATTTGACAGAAGTATAAACTATCTCCTCACTCCCTTCAGCTGCCGAAGTTTCTGATCTGCTTCCCTCCATGCCAAAGCGAACAGTGCGTATGACAAGGTGATTCTATCAGGCTGTTGAGCGATAGGGCTCAATGCCTGTGAAACAGGAAACCTGAGGCTACATTCAGAAGACAAGAAATGTGAAGTTGCAACCTCTATCTCCAGCTGCTCAAAATAACCAAATTTACAACAGAATGGAGACCAGTGGAAGTGCAAGAACTTCCATTTCCTAACCTGATGGGGACGTCTTAAGAACAGCCATTAGTGGAAGAGGTGATTAATCACAAAGTGCATGGGTATTCTAACTGTTGCCCATGCAAGAGGCTGTGATTACACTGACTAGTAATTGTGAAAATGTGTGTCACTCTGAAGAGCTTCCTCTAAGGACAGCAGCAGGTGGATAGCAAGAGCACAAGGTGAAAAGTGGATTAAGCAATGGGTACAGCAAACTGGTAGCCCAAATGCTGTCAAAAGGGAAGTTAGAGGTGGACAGCATGGGTTTGAGAAGGAAGCCTTGTGAGCTCTGGACACTTCTACTGGGAACTCCTTCTACACCCAACAGCCAGCGTGAATATGCCTGAGACACAGGCAGGCACTGAGAGCTGGCATCCCTCAAGACCTTCTGAGTCAACATCTCAACAGCATCAGTACAAGAGAGACATGGAAATATTGGAGTGAGTCTAGCAAAGGGACAGGAAGATGATGACAGGACTGGAGCATCTCTCCTGTGAGGAAAGGAGGAGAGAGCTGGGAATGCTTAGTCTGGAGAAGTGACATCTTAGGAAGGATCTTATTAATGTACATAAACACCTGAAGGGAGGGTACAAGAAGAGCCAGGCTTTTTTCAGTGGTGCCTAGTGACAGGACCAGAGGCAATGGGCACAAACTGAAACACAGGAAGTTCCCTCTGAATATCAAGAAACAGTTTTTTACTGTGAGGGTGTATTGGGTTTATGTGGCAAGGTTTTGGTAGTGGGAGCGCTACAGGGGTGGCTTCTGTGAGAAGCTGCTAGAAGCTTCCCCCCATGTCCAATAGAGCCAATGCCAGCCGGCTCCAAGATGGACCCAATGCTGGCCAAGGCCGAGCCAATCAGCAACAGTGGTAGCGCCTCTGTGATAACATATTTAGGAAGGGAAAAAAAAACCAACCCAAAACCAAAAATGCTGGGACACAAACTGCAGCTGGAGTGAGGAGTGAGAATATGCGAGAGAAACAACCCTGCAGACACCAAGGTCAGTGAAGAAGGAGGGGCAGGAGGTGCTCCAGGTGCTGCAGGCACCAGAGCAGAGATTCCCCTGCAGCCCGTGGTGCAGCCCATGGTGAGGCAGCTGTGCCCCTGCAGCCCATGGAGGTCCATGGTGGAGCAGATACCCACCTGCAGCCTGTGCAGGACCCCATGCCGGAGCAGGGGGATGTGCCCAAAGGAGGCTGTGACCCCGTGGGAAGGCCGGGCTGGAGCAAGCTCCTGGCAGGACCTGTGGACCTGTGGAAAGAGAGGAGCCCACGCTGGAGCAGGTTTGCTGCCAGGACTTGTGACCCGTGGGGGTCCCACACTGGAGCAGTCCGTTCCTGAAGGACTGCACCCCATGGAAAGGATCCACGCTGGAGCAGTTCATGAACTGTAGCCTGTGGGAAGGACCCACATTGGAGAAGTTCATGGAGGACTGTCTGCTGTGGGTGGTACCCCACGCTGGAGCAGGAGAAGAGTGTGAAGAGTCCTCCCCTGAGGAGGAAGGAGCGGCAGAGACAGCGTATGACGAACTGACTGCAACCCCGATTCTCCATCCCCCTGTGCTGCTTGGGGGAGGAGGTAGAGAAAATTGGGAGTGAAGTTGAGCCTAGGAAGAAGGGAGGGGTGTCGGGAAGGTGTTTTAAGATTTGGTTTTGTTTCTCACTACCCTACACATGTTCTCACTCCTCTCTCCTACTCAGTTTTGATTGGTAGTAAATTAAACTGATTTTCCCCAAGTTGAGTCTGTTTGGCCCATGACAGTAATTGCTGAGTGATCTCCCTGTCCTTATCTTGACCCCCGAGCTTTTCATTATATTTTCTCTCCTCTGTCCAGCTGAGAAGGGGAATGATAGAGCAGCTTTGGTGGGCACTTGGCATCCAGCCAGGGTCAAACCACCACAGAGGGTGATTGAACACTGGCACAGGTTGGCCAGAGAGGTTGTGGTGTCTCCCTCCATGGACAGTCATCTGAACATGGTCCTGGGCAACCATGTGGTTGCAAGGTGGCCCGCCTTGAGCAGGTGGTTGGACCAGATGACCTTGAGAGGTCCCTTCCAACATCAATCATTTTGTGACTCTGTGGTGAGCAATAACAGGAAAGGATAGCTTTCTTCTGAAGTAGTGAAGATTGACTGTTGGTGAGAATGGAAGGGAGTACCGATGCTTCTAGCATCCTGAGAAACCTCTTAGCTGCATGGTTGGCTGATTTTTGTTTTGATCCAGATTCTGATCCCTTCCAGTTCATGCTGAGATTGGGGATGTTTGCCAGGCTCGGGGAGTGCATCTTCCTCACTGGTACAGTTCATTTACAAGAATTGCCTGGGCATTCTCAACAAAGGAGTTTGCCATGCTTTTCAGTTCTAGGACAGGGATGATTGCTCCCTGTCCTGGTGACATGCTGTAAATTTGAGAAGTGATTGGCCAGGAGGATGCTTAGCTTGATATAGAGTATGGTGGCCAGTTTGTTACAATGTGCATGTTTGGAAAGGCATAGACTGGATATTTCTGCAAATCCTTCCATCACCGACTTGCCTCTAAAGGTGACATATTGCACACACAAGATTCCTTCCAAACCTGGGTAGGGCCTGTAGGCAGCAAGACAGGGAGCCTGTTCTTGAAAGGAAGGGGAAGGCAGAAGAGAGCAGAGCAACACAAGAGGAGGAAAGCCTCTCTTGAATGCTTTGAATGGATATTAAAGGAGTCTAAAGAGCTGTTAATCCCAGAGGAGGAGAATTTGTCATAGTCACGATGAGAGCTTAACTGGGAATGTAATCTGTGCAGCCCGAAAGAAACCAACAAGATTCAGACACTGCTTAAGTGCCCAGACCGAGGGGAAAAGGCCACAGCCAAAGGCACTGCAGGCTGCCTGCAGGGCCAGGGTGATCACAAAGACAGAGTTATTTGTGAACAAGTGGAGAAGTGAAAGCTGGCAGGGAAGAATTAAGAGCTTTGTTTTGATGTGTTTTACCATTTTGTCTCAAATATCAGCAGTAAGTTGAGTTCTTAGTTTGGACAGGAAATACAAAGGAAGCGATTGCACCATAGGACGGTATGCATGCAACACGCTGTTAATAGCAAAGTGTGAATATAAATAAATCTGACCTCTGCAGCTGAGATGTCTGTGCTGTACTCCCAGTGGAATCAGCAGTAGGACACAAATCACAGCAGGACTAAATCGATCAGTTTTCCAGGGGCCAACAATGCTCCTTCCCAGTTCTTCACTACGAAAGCAGCATACCATAGGGAAGCCTTCCCAAACCCCTCTCAAACAAGTGGGTTGTCTAGCATGTTGACCAGTTCACTAAATCCATCATTTGTTTCTTAACTAAAAGATGCAAAAAGCCTGAGAGCTCTGGTTAAAGAACACCTGTCCCTTCCAATAACAGAGCCCCGGAAAGTGGACCCTCTTGCCACCACAGTGGGGGTGTGACTTAAGGAATGTCCTTGAAACCACTTACAGCTTTATTAATTGTACTCAAGACGTTCCAAGTCCGCCAACCTTGTGCATGATCAGCTGGACCTGGAATTCCTCCACAGTGGCAAAACTTGCAGGAGCTGGAGGAGACACCTTTATTCCAAAGTGTAACACAACAGCACGTCAGGTGGGGACAGAATCAGAAGGATATAGGCCAGAAAGCAGTTTTACGAAGAACGGTCTCCCTTGCTCGTTTAACACGAAGTCACTCCGGAGGTACGGGG